CTGCTTTCTTCCAAGATCCATCTATCATTAGCTATAATATCCCTAGTACCACGACCTCTTCTAAATTCAGCCTGCATATCTGGCAGTTCTCTGTTGACATATTGTTCCAAACATTTTTGGATAATTTTCAGCAGAATCTTGCTTGCATGTGATATTAATGATATTGTTCGATAATTTGCACACTCTGTTGGGTCACCTTTCTTTGGAATGGAAACAAATGTTGATATTTTCCAGTCAGTGGGCCAGCTGGGTTTTCTCAAGATTTCTTGGGAGTTGGGGAGGAGAGAGGTGGAGTTTTGCTGATCTCTAGGTTCTAACGCAGGTAACGATTAAAATTTAATAAAAAATTTTAAAAAAAGAAAGAATAGAAACAAAAGAAACACAGTTTTTTTCGTTTTCTACTTAATAATATATTTTGAACATATTCTGATGTATTAAAATTTCATCCAAAGGATATTTTTAAAGGCTGCCTGTGATTCTAATTAAAAAATGTCAACACAAAGTGATTAATAACCCATTATTCATTACTGGACTTGATTTTTAAAAATTTTTAATGTCCATACATCAGGCTTTGATAAGTAATTGATGAAATAGAATATTTATGAAAACTCATAATTAATTCTTAAGAAGAAGCTCCTAGAATTTAATAGCAGGTCAGTGGGTATCCACCTCCACGGACATTTCCTTTTCAATGGACACTTTGTCCTCCAGGAAATATCTAACAATTTTAATTCCTTAGCAATATTTAAGGGAGTTCTTTTTACTAAAACTTCACTCACCTGGAGTTATTTATCTTATTGCAATCTTTACCAATTTAAGATATATAGCTGTTTAAGGTTGTTCACAGCTTTAATTTGCTTGTCTTCATAGTTAACACTCTTGGCACCAGCAGCCGGGAAATTAAAAGACGTATTGCAATGGGAAAGTTTGCTGTTAGGGACCTCTCCAGGGTACTGAAGAGCAATGGTGTCACTCTGGAGAGTAAGGTGTGTCTGATACAGGCCGTGGTCTTTGCAATCACTTGTTATGCATCAGAGAGTTGGACAATCACTAGGGAGGATAGAAGGAGAATTGATGTCTTTGAGCTGTGGTGCTGGAAAAAAGTATTGAGTGTACCAGGGACTGCTAAGACAACAAACAGATTCATCCTGGAGAGATTTACACTGGGAAGCTTCTTGGAGGCAAGGATTCTGAGGCTTCATCTGACATACTTTGGACATGTTGTAAAGAGGAGAGGTCCTTGGAGAGACAGCGCAAGAGGGGAAGGCCCTCTATGAGGTGCATTGATTCCGTGACTAGGGTAGTTGGGATGGGTGTGTCAGAGACAGTGCAATTGACACAGGACAGAGCAGAGTTTAGGACTGTTGTACATAGGGTCTTCAAATGACTCGACTGCACACAACAACAACAACAACAACAACAACAACATACCAATTACTAAAGGATGTTTGCAGTTGTTTGTCCTCGTTATGATTCACTTTCAGTCTGGACTCTGCCTCTAATACTATAGCTACCAATGCACCTCTATTGTTCATAGTGCTTTCAGAGGCACGTTCATGGAAGCTCTACCAAAACCTATCTATCATGGACAGGTAGAGGGGCAATGAAAGAGATAAAGACCTTCAAGGAGATGAATTGACACAGTGGCAGTAATATTCGGTTCAAGTGTGTCAGAGATACTGAGAATGGCACAGCAAAAGAGAGGGTTCAGAACTGTTGTTCATATGGTCAAAATGAGTTGTACTCAACTCACCAGTCAAAGACAACAATAACACAGTAAATACTTTGTAATTTCCTTCCCCTTATTGTTCTTTTCTCTCCTTTATCCTCATCTCCATTGAAATGTAGCAAGGAGAAGATTATGTCAATGCCTGCATCCTACTTTTCTTGGTACTCTGGCTTAACTTTTTATTTCAACACTTCTACTTATGTCTTGTGTGTTTGAGTACCCCAATGGTTTTCTACTAATATTTGCTTTGAAGAATTGTTTCTTTCTCCTGCATCTGCCAGACCTGACTAACTTATCTTGTTAA